TCCCCCTCTCGCGGCAGGGCGAGAGCCTGGGCCAGGGCTCCTTCACCCAGATCTACAAGGGCGTCAAGCGGGACCAGGGGGAGGACGGGTACTACCAGACCGAGGTGGTGCTCAAGGTCATGGACAGCAGCCACCGCAACTGCTCCGAGGTGAGGCGGCAGCAGCCCCCCAGGCTGGCACCGGGGGGTCCCCACAGCCCCCCCTGAGCCAGCCTCTCCCCGCTCCCAGTCCTTCCTGGAGGCAGCCAGCATCATGAGCCAGCTCTCCCACAAGCACCTGGTCCTGCTGCATGGCGTCAGCCTCGGGAAGGACAGTGAGTGCCCGTCCCCCTCGCCGGGCAGTGCCGTGCCATGGCCGCGCTGACGGGAGGGCACGTACCGGACCTGCCCGTGCCATCCCCCCACAGGCATCATGGTGCAGGAGTACGTCAGGCACGGGCCCCTGGACCTCTACCTGAAGAAGAACCAAGGCGAGGGCAAGGTGACGACGAGCTGGAAGCTGCAGGTGGCCAAGCAGCTGGCATACGCCCTCAACTACCTGGTGAGCCGGCTGCCGGCACGGCACGGGGCGCCGGTGTCCTGCAGTCTATGCGTCCTGCAGCTCCTGTGTGTCAGCATCCCACAGCTCTTCCGTGTCCTCATCCCACGGCTCCCATGCATCCGTGTCCCCAGGGCTCCTATGCGTCCCTGTCGGCCCACCCCGGCTGGCGCCGGCTCAGCCTGGTGCATGGGGCTGCCCCGCAGGCCGGGGCTGCGCTGACGGTCCCGGTCCCTCTCCCCTCTCCAGGAGGACAAGAAAATCACCCACGGCAACGTCTCTGCTAAGAAGGTGCTGCTGACCCGGGAGGGGGACATGGCCAGCGGCAGCCCCCCCTTCATCAAGCTCAACGACCCTGGAGTCAGCGTCACCGTCCTGGCTAAGGAGAGTAAGTGCCTGGGCTGACCCAGGGCCTCGGGGAGGGTGGCAGGGCCCCCCGGCGGGTGCTGAGCGGGGCCGTCCCCCTCTCCCCAGTGCTGGTGGAGCGCATCCCCTGGGTGGCCCCCGAGTGCCTCAGCGACCCCAAGAGCCTGGCGCTGCCGGCCGACAAGTGGAGCTTCGGGGCGACCCTCTGGGAGATCTTCAGTGGTGGCAACATGCCCGTCAGCCTGCTGGAGCCCCAGAAGGTGAGGCTACCCCATCCCGCTGCATCCCAGCCCTCCCGCTCCATCGTTCCTGCCCCATCTCTTTGCATCCCAACCCTCCTGCCCCATCCTGCTGCATCCCAACCCTCCTACCCCATCCTGCTGCATCCTGACCCTCCTGCCCCATCTTATTGCATCCCGACCCTCCTGCCCCATCTTATTGCATCCCCACCCTCCTGCCCCATCCCGCTGCATGCCCACCCCGCTG